CAATTGGTTTATGACTATAATGAAAGGTATAAAGCAAGGTGAAAGCTGAAAGGTATGTAATGAAGCCTTTATTAGATTGAGTTTGTAAATCCCAGAAATGAGTGGAAAATGCAAATCAAACCCAATTAAAACCAATAATTTGATATACATCATGATATTTTTCTAGGGGGGGGTAAAAAAATTCCGGCGCGCTTCGCGCGCAAAATTCAAAATTTTTACCCCCAGCTCACCCAGCAAGACAACGGACATTAAATTAACATCAAATTGACATCTTTTTAGAGCATGCAAGTAACGTCATTTTGACATCACAAAAAGACATCAAATTGATGTAAAAACGGCCCAGAAATTGTCTTAACCTAACCTAAACCTTAAATAATACTAAAATAAACAGCTGGCGTAGGTCCGATATTGCAGTAGGTCGGAAAGTTAGTAGGTCAGAAGTTCAGTAGGGGGGATGTTGCGTATAGACGATGTAACATTACCAGACAAATGCAGACGACTTTTTGAAATGCGCACTTGTTGAATAAAAATTCCGCGTAGTTTTCTGTAACACTTCTGTGAATCATAATAGACAATAAATATTTATTAAATAACTAGTTAGAACCAGATTTAAGATGGTTTTTTGAGATAAATTATTAGCTATTAAGTTAGTTTATCCAAATTGAAAAATGGCGAATCAACTGTCGGAGCAAGATTTCCAGCGTTTACAGGTGTTAATTCAATTTTAATTCAATTAATTAATTTATCATATTTATTTGGTCTTATTTTAATAAATCAAGAATTGTAGGAAAATATGTAACATTTTATTACTGTTCATCATTCTAGTATTATAATTTCTTTGAATTCAAAAGACTGTGAAATTTCTTTGAGAACGATTTCTGTGCCGGGTCTCTGAACTCTACTGTTCGATTTTTGACCGATTTATAGTCACATATTTTGAACAAAGATCTAGAACAGACTAGGAGGGGGGTCGGGGTGTGGCTGAGCGCTGCGTATAGGCCACAGACTTGAGGGGCCGGGCGCCGTGGTCACATGCTAAACTATAGTCCATGTCTTACATACAAGAGTTTGTACAAAAGTAATAGGAAGGGGGTGAGGGGGGGGGGGCAATAATCTTATGTTATAAAATTAACAATTAATATTTACGCCTAATCTTTACAGTTACTCTTCTCTAGGAGAATCTACTCGAGTTGAAAACTGCTAACTATACTCTAGCGGAAAAGGAAAGGAGATCTAAGCATGGTTGGTTTAAACCTTTTAAATTTCAAAATTTCTCTCTTCTATGTATAAATTTGACTTGTCTGGGTGTCTGTATGTTTGTATCCGATAAACGTCAAAACGGCTGAACCGATCAGGCCCACATTTTTGTGGAATATCACGTGACCATAGGGAAGTGATATAAATTTAAAAAATTTGCTTTTTAAAGTTTTTTATTTTTCTTAATTTTTAAAAATCTTAAAAATCCGCGAAGTTTTTCTTCTTTATTTTAAAATTTACACAAAGAGAACATGTTCACAAATTAAATGGAAGTTGGGCGCAGCCTTGTTATGTAAAAGTGTAAAACCTCGAAACATGTGTTTGAATCCGGCCATCCGTTTTTACCAAAATAGTTTTAAATCTAATTTCTTTTCTGTTTTAAATACATTTAGCATATAATTCAACTAGTTTATTATTTAAGAAGTTAAAAGTCAACACCTCTTATACGTTTCTTTATCTAGGATGTTCAATTCTATATATTTGGTTCGAACCAATTTAAAAATTAAACAATACGGAAAACAACACAAATAGATAATATAAACTGTAATTCGATTTAAACTTTAAAAAATCAATAGATCAATATACACAACGCTGAAAATGCTTGTAATAAACTGCAGCAAACTTCAATAAATTTTCCTAAATTAAGAAATTGACTGTATCAGGAAAATTTTGATTAAAAACATTGTATTTTTAATGTGCCCATGAGATCAGGCAATATGTCTAATTCAAATAACAGTAAAACAAGAATTACTCACATTTTGCGATAATATAAATTTATGCGATTATTGGCAAAAGTTCAACCTAACATAGCCTGATATTCGTTAAGGATTGGGTGAGGCGACTGCAAAGATCAAAGTTCTGGAAGAAGCGCTAGAGAAAGCAAACCGTACTGTTGAGAGATCAAAAAAGGAAACAAAATCTGACATTTGAAACACATTTTCTCATTAATAACATTATGTGTTGTTAGAATTTGGGTTAAAATCTCGATAGTATTAAAGATCTTCATCACAATATTTCATCTTTTTACATGTATTGTATATCCCCCCCCTCCTCAAATTCGTTTACATTAGAATCTTTGACTAAGGGTGAAACTATTAAATCGAAAATGTCAAAATTGAAATTTGGACTCTTCACATTTGTTAAAGAAAACAATTGCAGATCATCAGTAATAACTAGATAAAAGGCCTAGGTTAAATTCTAACAAATATTTGCCACGATTTTAAAGTTTCAGGATGGATATCTTTACACCAATCTTGATTAGTTATACACTTCTTCTTTTCTCGCTTACATTAGTAATTGGATCTACACAAAAACTAAAATTCTGAATGAATAAAAATCAATTTTGTCAAAGAAAAATGTTTGAACTGCAAGATGGTTTTGGTATTATATTTGTACTAACAAAAGTGTCCTCATAGTTTTACCCTTATTTTGACCTCAGATTTTGTCAATTGACCTCTAAAGGCGGCCGAACTTCAACATCTGACGAAGCAAAATGAATTCCTTCAAGAAAAACTTGGCTTCCAGGTGAATGCATTTGTATTAAAGTTTTAGATTTACATCGGCAATCTTAAAACTTTTTGCGAACAATAAATTGAAGATATCTTCGTTTTTCTGTCAGAGAAATTAAATTTTTTTGACGATTTACATATTTGTGTTTAGCGGAGAAACTTGAATGAGAAATTGTTGAATTTTAGATTATAAAACGAGCATATCTTCACAGTTCTTACAATTTTTTGATAAGGCAAAGGTTTAATGGACACCTTTGTTGGTCAGAAATGCCGCTGTTTTGATGGAGGGGCACTTAACAGTATCTCGTTTGTCTTTTTACAAATACATAAAATGCTTGCGTCTTGCTTGTTACTCAATGAGTTCTTCTATGATTTATTTATTTTTTCCAGGATGAGCAATTTAGATTACAGAATCAAACGCTTATGAATGAACTTACAACGGTAAGCTAGTGTAACCGTTTTAATCCACGAAAATTATTGTTTTAAATTTTTAAAATCTCTTTGAGCATCACTTTTAAATTAAAAAAATTACTTAATCTTCTTAAGTTTTACGATTAATAGCCATTTAATAGTTTTTATTTTCCTTTTTAAATTAACTTTAAAAATTATGAATATTTAGTTGGTTCGTCGAAACGAGGAGCTTGAATCCTGCCTTAAAAATATGCCTTTAAAGGGTAAGATTCAGAGCAACAAAAAAATCTATATAATAAAACAATATATGTTGCGTATAGCCGGCCAAACGGCTGGAACAATTGCGCTGAAATTTTCTGTGGACACTCATGGGTGGCCGGGGGGGGTGTTAAAGGCTAAAAAAAAATCAAAATAAAAAAAATTCCTCTGGCAACGCCGGGCTCTTTAGATAGTAGTAAATAAAACACCATGTTAAAAAAGTGTCCACATAAAGATAAGAAGATAAGACATAGAAATAAAAAATACTAAACAATAATCTACAGTCTACAGAGTTATACCCACAAAGGAAGGGAGTTTAGAGACGACTGTACAGAATTTATTATATTCTTGATTCCTTGCAACTATAAACTTTAGAGACGACTGTACTGAATTTATTATATTCTTGATTCCTTGCAACTATAAACTTTAGAGACGACTGTACAGAATTTATTATATTCTTGATTCCTTGCAACTATAAACTTCCGTCTTTCTTTACCAAATCATTAAATAAGCCATTTCAAGACCACACACAAGACAGAAGAATTACTTTAAACTTTGCATTGTCAAATTTGAACAGGTCTAGGTCGTCTTTACAGTCTTATTCTTTGTAAGTATTGGGTAAACCTGATGCCTTGGGCTTTTTGTAATGAAGATATCCACAGGGATGTATTTTTTACAGAATCTCCCCCCACCGCCTATGATTTTGATTTGGGGGGAAAATGAAAAATTGGACATCAGAGGGCAAGTTTTTTGCATTCTTTTTGATACTTTTTACCCTAAACATTATTTTTAATTTAAACTACGCGCAAACATAGATCACTTATGAGGGAAAAAATGATATTCTAAAAAGAACAGGAATGAATTATTAGGAAAATGTACACCCCTGTTTTTTCAACAAATTGTTTTGTTCTCATTTAAGCATTTTTATATTGTTTCAGAATCAGAAACTGCCTTAAAAGATTCTGAAATCAGAATTCTGTCACTGGAAAAGGAAAACCAAGAGTTAGGTGAGTTTTTCGATTAAAAAGATTGCGATTTTTTTCTGAATTATAAAAAAATTATATTGTAGCAATTTTGGAAAAAAAGCTTTTTTTTTAAAAGTTTTATTTTTTTATTCTGTTTAGTTGTCTTCCGGCTTCCCCTTGGTTTCTGTAAAATATTTATTAGCATATTGTCTGTACACTAGGAGACAGATGTGAGAAGTATCTGAGAAAAATCTCCGATCTTCAAGCTGCAAAACAAGCAAATGTAGACACTGCAGATGAACATCAATCAACTAGGTATACCCCCCCCCCCCCCTCCTACCGCCCTATTTAGTTATTTAAAGATTTTCTTATTAAAAAATGTCTTTTTGGGTTTACTGAAAATTACTGAAGAGGGAAATTAAAAAATGATACCGTTGTGAATCAGCGATGCAACTTTATTTGTAATGCTGGATCACGTAAAATTACAAAGACAATCCCTTAAACTTAATAAAAATACTTAAATTCCAAACTGGACTTAAAAACAAAACAATGAACGTTTTGGTTCGTTTTCTTTGCAAATATTTTCTGTTATGTTCAAGATCTGGCATTGTGTTACAATACACAATTTTGAAAACATTTGCTCTCCTTACTTAATGTCAAGTTCTGACTATGATAGAAAATATAGGGAAAAAACTATCAAAAAAAAAAGAGCAAAAAACGAAGCAAATTTATTCCTAGAATATCCGAGCTGGAAAAAGAATTGGACAGACTTGAGGATGTGGAAATTAAGCTTGAGAGCACTAAGGAATATAACATAGAGATTTTTTATTTATTACGATTGCCAAAAAAGTTTTTTAATCGGAAGTTTTAGTTTTAGATTTGGTGCAGTCTACGCCCTCATTTTTTGGTAACAAATTAAGCTTCGCTTTTTTCATTGATTTATTTCTAAAAAGATTTTTCCGTACCAATTTTTTAATTTCGACCGATTCTCTGAACTGAAATTTTGAAAGCTTTTAAACCAAAATAAACCCGGCGTTAGAGTCTTTCTACAAGTAAAGACCGCTCTTAGACTCAAGCTTCTAGACTCGGTTATCAAGACTTATTAGATTAAGGAAGATCTGGGCGTTACAAAGGCTTAAGTCTACAAAATTCTTTCAAATCGTATATCTGGGGTCTTGTGAGATACCACCAGTAAATCGGAACAAATCGGTTTAGCCGTGTTTACGTTTTTTTAGATTCAAACAAACAGAAAAGCAATTGACAAACTATTCATGTAGATACGACTTAGTTCACCTTTTCAGCTTATTATTGTGCAAAGAAAATTGTCTATGGTTGATTGATTGATTGATTAATTGTTTGATTACAAATTTCTCCATGATTTTGAGTTTAGTCTGAGCTAAATCTTGTGTCAGCTCACAATACTGAACTGAAGGAGAGAATTAGTCAGCTTACAGAGAAGGTTGAAAGTCTCAGCTCAGAACTTAGCTCAACCAGGTCGAAATTTTTTTTAACATCTCTTCGTTTTAAGAAGGTGTTTATTATCATTTTTTTCCCTGTCTTAAGCATTGCAAAGACTATCCAAACCAAATATATTTAAAATCCGGGTTTTAAACGTTATGTTTCGTTTCAGTTTTACAAAGTTCATATTTAAGCTGCATATAAAATTTCCAGATTTGATTAAAATAATACATGTGCCTCATCAATACCTAGAGGGACCGTATGTATAATTTCAAGTGACCCACCACGCAAAAATGGCAATGCCCGCTTTACAACGGAACCCTTAGTGCTTTGTCTGATTAAGTATGAAATAGATTTCTATGTTTTTGTTTTTTAAAACTGATAATTTGATTTAATTTGTGGTTTCTCTAAAAAGTGACATGAACAGTTACTTAAAATTTCGCTTACAATTACTTAAATACATCAAATTACGCTTACATTCCCTTTAAATACATCAAATTACGCTTACATTCCCTAGCTTTAAATACTTCAAATTACGCTTACATTTCCTTAAATACTTCAAATTACGCTTACATTCCCTTTAAATACATCAAATTACGCTTACATTCCCTTTAAAGAAATCAAATTACGCTTACATTCCCTTTAATCCATCAAATTACGCTTACATTTCTTTTAAATACATCAAATTACACTTACCTTCCCTTTAAATACATCAAATTACGCTTACATTCCCTTTAAATACATCAAATTACGCTTACCTTCCCTTTAAATCCATCAAATTACGCTTACATTTCTTTTAAATACATCAAATTACACTTACCTTCCCTTTAAATACATCAAATTACGCTTACATTCCCTTTAAATACATCAAATTACGCTTACCTTCCCTTTAAATACATCAAATTTCGCTTACATTCCCTTTAAATACATCAAATTACGCTTACCTTCCCTTTAAATACATCAAATTATGCTTACATTCCCTTAAAATGAATCAAATTACGCTTACATTCCCTTTAATACATCAAATTACACTTATCTTCCCTTTAAATACATCAAATTACGCTTACATTCCCTTTAAATACATCAAATTACGCTTACCTTCCCTTTAAATTCATCAAATTACGCTTACATTCCCTTTAAATACATCAAATTACGCTTACCTTCCCTTTAAATACATCAAATTACGCTTACCTTCCCTTTAAATACATCAAATTATGCTTACATTCCCTTAAAATGAATCAAATTACGCTTACCTGCCCTTTAATACATCAAATTACACTTACATTTGCTTTGAATACATCAAATTACGCGCACATCTCTTTTAATACATCAAATTACGCTTACCTGCCCTTTTATTCATCAAATTACGCTTACATTCCTTTTGAATACATCAAATTACGCTTACCTTCCCTTTAAATACATCAAGTTACGCTTACCTTCCCTTTAGTACATCAAATTACGCTTACATTCCCTTTAAATTCATCAAACTACACTTACATTCCCTTTAAATACATCAAATTAAAATGATGTGTTGATTTAGTGAGGGGTTGAAGAGAAAGCATGAATTATTCTTGGTCATTCAACAGGAGAAAGAAAGGATGCTGACCAACTTCAGGTAAGTGACCATTTTTCTTGAATAATCTATAAATCTTTTTATTTTTGAGGGAGCAGAATGGCTGAATCATATAGATAAATTTGGATTTGCCAAGCCAACATTGGCCGTCTTTAATGGCAAACCCGGATGTTATTGTATAACATCATATTTAAATCATACAATTGGAGGCGTTTCGTCAAATAGGTAGGGGGACGTAATAGGAAGAGAGAAAGGGGGGGTTATGTAGCTCAATCAGAATCATTAGCTAGATCAAAATTTAGGATGGCACATTTATTTATTCAGAAATACATGAAAAACAGTTTGATCTTGAACACTTTCGCAGATACATATTTGTTTTTTCCAGATGCAATTTATTTTTAACAAGTTAGAAAAACAATAGTTTTTTATTTCTATGAATTCCATATTTCTGATAGGAAAACTTTAGGAAATTGTTCGAATACTTTTCCGATTGGTCTTTCTGATCTTAAGCATTTTGTTCGGTTTGGATGATACAGAGCACTGAACAAACATATCATTAAACGATTTAGGAAGCCGTTCATTGAAGTATTTGTACATAAAAATTGAACCTTTTAATTAAAGAATATCATGCAGTTTCAAAATATTTAGGTTGCCAAAAAATGGATTTGTATGCGCTTTAAAGCTTAAATTGTAACTGCTCTAATAGCCTTTTCTTTAATATAATAAACATTCTTGATTTTTTTATTCTTATGATATTGTTTTCAGAGAAATTTCTAACAGAGCTCCACAGTCAATTTTTACTATCATTATCATTGTCAAATCAATCAATCAATAATTGATCTATTTTTGTTTTCTGTTTTTTCGATTTTATTTGTACTGTACTGTACTGTACTGTACTGTACTGTACTGTACTGTACTGTACTGTACTGTTCTGTATTTCAGTGAGAAAGAGAAGGAACTGCAGACCCAGTATGGCCAGGAGCTACAGACCATTACGGGTATGTACAGTAATCAAATTTGTAATTTTTGTGTATATTAGTGTACTGTGTATACTTAACAGTGGACACTACGGTAGTCTACATTGTACGCTGCAAGTTGTATATTCTTTATTTCTTTTTACTCTTGATTTTTTCAATTTTTTTAAAATTAAGTTTAATTTTGTTTTTAAATTAATGATTTTTTATCTATTTAATTTATCTATTATATTTGTCAGAGAGGACGGATTGTTTGTAGAGTGCAGACGCATACTTTATTCTTTTCTTGATTTTTAAGATTTTTGACATACATTTTTTTATTCAAGAATGAATAAGCATGTACTATTTGTCAGAGAGAAAAGACCGTCTGCAGACCCAGTTGAATCTACTGCAGGAGAACTTTACCGATCTGAAGGAAACACATCTCAAATCAACTCATGGTATTAATTAACTAATTCTTATTAGGCTTTCAGGGCGTTTTTTTTGCCGGTAAAACTGAACGGTTTTTTTGCAGGGGTGTATGTTTTTAAGAAAAATATTTTCCCCCATTATATTTTCTCGATTTAGTATGTAATTTTTAGAGTTTTATTAGCTGAATTTTAGAGAAATTTTAAGAGAAATAGATGATTTTTTTTATGTAAAAGTATACAATTGCAGATAATCAAATTTTATTTCTTAGATTTTGAACAGACAATAGAGAATATGAAGATTCAGGTATTATTAATATTTTTATTTTTGTTATTATCATTTTTATCATTATTATTATTATCATTATTATTATCATTATTGAGATTATTAATTCCATTATTACCAGTCAAAATACCAACGTTGAAGCCAGTGTTTTGTAAATAAGTTTTCTTGAAATAGATTCTCATTTTATTTTTCAAATGTAACCATTCAATCAATACATTTAGTTAGGTGAGCGCTCTCTTGAAAAAGTAAAAGTTTTAAGCTAATAAAATACTTTAATCAATCAATTATTCAATCAAAAAAACTAGTTGAGCTTAGAGTCCTCATGAAAATGTTAGAGTTAGAAGCTGCTAAAAAATCTTAAAAGAATCTATCTATCAATCAATCTATAAACAATAAAAATATTTAGTTAGCTGATTGCTAAAAATGTTTAAGAGTTAGAAGCTGTTAAGAAATCTTTAAAAAATCTATCTATCAATCAATCTATAATCAATAAACATATTTAATTAGTCCCCCTGAAAAAGTAAAAGAGTTGAAGATGCTAAAAAATCTTAAATCAATATATCTATCTATCTATCAATCAATAAACAATAAACATATTTAATTAGCTGAGAGTCCCCCTGAAAATGTAAAAAAGCTATGAAGCTGCTAAAAGTCTTAAATCAATCAATCAATCAATAAACAATAAACATTTTTAGTTATCTGAGAGCTCATGAAAATGTTAAAGAGCTAGAAGCTGCTAAAAGATCTTAAATCTCTCAATCAATTAATAAACAATAAACATATTTAGTTAGCTGAGAGTCCCCCTGAAAATGTTAAAGAGTTAGATTCTTAAAAGAATCTTTCTATCAATCAATCTATAAACAATAAACATATTTAATTAGCTGAGAGCTGGAAATGTTTAAAGTTAGAAGCTGCTAAGAGATCTTAAATCAATCTATCTATCAATCAATCAATCAATTAATCAACAATAAACATATTTAGTTAGCTGAGAGTCCCCCTGAAAAGGTCAAAGAGTTAGAAGCTGCAAAAAATTCTTTAGCCAACGATCTTACCTCCATGGCTGATAAGATGGAAAAGGTAACATTTTCTTATTTTCCTTTTTTCTTTTTCAATTTCCCCAGTTCTTCCTAAACTGTTCTTTTAACTAATTTTATTAATCTAGAGAGAAAAGATAACCTTTTCTTTTTTTTCTTCTTATTTCTTCTTTTTTCTTCTTTTTTCTTCTTTTTTCTTCTTTTCCCTTGTTTTCTTTTCCTTTTCTTCTTTTTCTTTTCTAATTTTTCTTTTTCTTCTTTTCCTTTTTTCTATTCCCCTTTTTATCATGTTGTTCTTTTATCTTAAAGAAAGAGATGTGATCTTTTTCTTCTTTCCCTATTTTCTTTTCTTTTATCTTCACTTTCTCTTGTACTTATTTTGTTCTTATTGCTCTCCTAGGAAATGGATAGATCTAGCGGGCTATTATCTGAACTATCCAACTACCAAGGACAGATGGAAGAACTACACCGACAGAATGAGGCGAACAACACCTCCCTAGCTAATATGGAGGTGGAACTGGGACAAGTCCAGCAGGTATTTAGTGCTTAGGATTTCAACTATATTGATTAGAATCCAGATTCTGCATCTTCCCGGTCAAAATAGGAAAGGACTGATTGATCATTGATGTATGAATTGATTAATTAATTAATCTTGTATAGTTAGTGGTAAGATTGATAAATTGATCTTGTATAGTTGGCTGAACGTAGGGAAGGGCTGATTGATCAAAAATGTATCAATTGATTGATAAATTGATCTTGATTATTGCAGTTTATTTATATTATTTATTATATATATTTACTGATTATTACAAAGTTGGGAAGGGCTGACTGATCAAAAAAATATCAATCGATTGATTAATTGATCTTGATCATTATAATTGATCATTATAGTTAGCGGAAAGTAGGAAAGGGCTGATCGATGATATGGCGCTTCAGCTTCAAAAGAAAACAGATGAACTGAGAAACCTGAGCAAAGAATCAAACTCAAGGTATTTCACTACTATTGCCGCAGGTTCTGTGTTCAATTTTAACGCAAGACGTCAAAGTTTCATTGCAAGGTGTCAAAGTTTGCATGCTGGATGTCAAATTTGACAGGTTTTAACATTTTCTTGTTGGGTGTTAAAATTTGCTTGCTGGGTGTCAAATTTTACTACATGTGTTAAAATTTTCTTACTGGGTGTCAAATTTTTCTACAGGTGTTAAATTTGCTTACAGGGTGTCAAATTTTACTGCAGTGAGTCAAAGTTTGCTTGCTGTGTGTCAAAGTTTGCTTGCTGGGAGTCCAAGTTTGCTTGCTGGTTGTCCAAGTTTGCTTGTTGGGAGTCAAAGTTTGCTTGCTGGGTGTAAAAGTTTACTTGCTGGGAGTGAAAGTTTGCATGCTGGGAGTCAAAGTTTGCTTGCTGAGAGTCAAAGTTTGAATGGTGGTTGTCAAAATTTGCTTGCTGGGTGTCAACATTTCCTTCCTGGGTGTCAAAGTTTGCTTATTGGTTGTCAAAGTTTGTTTGCTGGGTGTCAAAGTTTCCTTGCAAGGTTTCAAAGTTTCTTGCTGGGTGTCAACTTTTACTTCAGGTGTTAAAATTAGCAAACGGGGTGTCAAAGTTTGCTTACTGGATGTCAAATATTTTGTATTGGGTGTCGAAAGTTTGCTTACTGGGTGTCCAAGTTTGCTTGCTGTGTGTTGAGGTTTGCTTGCTGTGTGTTAAGGTTTGCTTACTGAGTGTTAAAATTTGCTTGCTGGTTGTCAAAGTTTGCTTGCTTGGTGTTTAATGTTTAAGTTTGTGCGCTGGGTGTCAAAGTTTGCTTACTGTATGTCAAATTTTTTCTTCACGATGTCAAAGTTTGCACTTTGGGTGTCCCATGTTTGTTAGTTAAGTGTCACTGTATGTTTGTCTATACTGCAAGGGGGAAAACTTTATTTTGTCACCATGTGTTGAGTATATTTTTTGAAGAATTTTTATTCTTGGATAGGTTCACGTTCATGATATGGTTCATGTTCATGTTCATGTTCATGTTCATGTTCATGTTCATGTTCATGTTCATGTTCTTGTTCTTGTTCTTGTTCTTGTTCTTGTTCTTGTTCATGTTCATGTTCATGTTCATGTTCATGTTCTTGTTCCTGTTCCTGTTCCTGTTCTTGTTCATGTTCATGTTCATGTCCATGGACTTGTTCATTTTCATGTTCATGTTCATGCTCTTTTTCATGTTCATGTTCATGTTCATGTTCATGTTCATGTTCATGTTCATGTTCATGTTCACGTTCTTGTTCCTGTTCCTGTTCTTGTTCATAATTGTTTGTTAAGGACTCCAGTTTTGCTGAATACCTATGTAGAGAAAGAGCTCTGAAAAATAAGGATAAATCTTGTCTTGTAGAGAAAGAAGGAAAAGGAAAGAAAAAGAAGAAGATGAAAGGAGAAACAGAAAATCATAGCGAGTTATGAGAAATTATAAAGATTCCCTTGAATTTGTTAATTTTGAATAGACTGAATTATCATTAAACAATTCCTCTTATTGCATTGTAGCGAAGTATGCTGGAAACAATGTCCAAACTAAAAAACAGCCAAAAATATTCTTATTTTTTAAATCTTCTTTAAATGAGAGTGTTTTGCAATGCTAAAATAGTTCGATTAAGCAAATATCTGTAATAGTCAACAACTGTCAACACAAAAAAGGAGTATATTTACTTTTTATAATAAATGACTAGAAAAGATAAAAGAGGATAATCAGCATACTTTGGACACTCCTGTCTACATATGAAAAAAATGGGGAATAGGAAGACGACATTTAAGCAATCTTGTGCACATATTCAAGGTTACATATACACTCAACAGGAAATGAATTTACCCATTAGCTTGGAAATCAATATTATCAAGTACAATGGGTCTGTGTATACTGCAGTTATGTTTCTTGTTCACTGAACTTATTAATATCATAATTTGAGTCCAACAGTCGTCTTTTTGTTCCACAGTTTTATATGTTCTCTATATGAAAATGTTAAAATTTGATAATTATAACAAATTATTTTAGAACTCAAGAAGAATCACAAAGTTGAGATTGATGAGTTAGAAGAAAAACATGAGAAGAATATCCAGGATATATTCAATATCAACCAGGTTAGTATTATTATGATTATTATTATTATTCAACCTAAAATCAAAGCAAGGTATGTAGACTACAGGTATGGGCAATAGGATTAGTTTCTGTGACGTATTTGGACTGCTAAGGAACTAGTTTCTTTGACGTATTTGGACTGCTGAAGAACTTGTTTCTGTGATGTATTTGGACTGCTGAAGAACTTGTTTCTGTGACGTATTTGGACTGCTGAAGAACTTGTTTCTGTGACGTATTTGGACTGCTAAGGAACTAGTTTCTTTGACGTATTTGGACTGCTGAAGAACTTGTTTCTGTGACGTATTTGGACTGCTGAAGAACTTGTTTCTTTGATGTATTTGGACTGCTGAAGAACTTGTTTCTGTGACGTATTTGGACTGCTGAAGAACTTGTTTCTGTGACGTATTTGGACTGCTGAAGAACTAGTTTCTGTGACGTAGTTGGACTGCTGAAGAACTAGTTTCTGTGACGTAGGACTGCTGAAGAACTAGTTTCTGTGACGTATTTGGACTGCTGAGGAACTAGTTCTTCTATCGCCCATACCTGTAGTCTATATACCTTGAGTGAAAGTATCATGTCCTGCAGCAGGCTATGTTACGTTGAGCTCTAGCCTAGTAACCTACTTTGTCTGGAATGTTTCCCGATAAAAGGCAACTTAATCAACTTAGAACTTTTAACTAAAGCTAAGAACATACCATTGGTATTACCGCAATCCCCAATCAAAAGTCGAGGCAGATCGGTCCAGGGGTTCATAATTTATGCTTGGACATCCAAAAAGACAAACTTAGTTTACTACTTAACTTAAATAGAGATTTATATGTGTAGAGTAAAAACCAGAAAACTCAAGAGTACATATCGTTTTACTTGAGCAATGTCTCTCTAAAATTAAAGTTTTCAATTGTTGAAACTGATATATTAAACAAAATAGGGCATCTCAGTCAGGCTGAGAAGAAGAGGACGAGAATTCCAATTTTTACTCTACTATATGTTCAACTAGTTTTAAATTTTTTTCCGCGGGACCCATGGATACGTTTCGACGGCTAGGAGCGCCGACCCCTATTTCTCCGAATGCAGGGTTGTCTTTTATTAATAATAAGAATAATATACTTTCATCTTCAAATCTTTTTTTTTAATGAAAGTGATAAGGATATTCATAAATATGAAATATAAAATATCTATTATTATAATAAAAATATAACATTAATAAGTACAATTATTCTAATGATTTTAGATTGATGCTTACACGATTGTCATCTTTTAAGAAAGTAATTTAAATATTATCCACATCTTTCTTCATTTTGATGTTAGTTGCCATACTGAATGTTGAATTCATACAAGCTCAAGTGCGCATATCGAGAATAAACAATGTAAGATAAGAATAAATCAAAAACATCTGGAGGCCAAATTTTAAAAATTTGAATCGCGTCTAGATGCGATTCAACCATGGTTGGTTCAACTGGAAATTTAATTAAGTATTTCGAGATTTGAGCCGGAGCTCAATTGGAACTGATTATCCGCGGTTCAGCGACGCAGTTCAGATTCTTTAAATTCCGCCTCGGTTTTGATTGTATGTGTGTACTAGGGTATCTTGAAAGGGTTGGAGACCCAGGTTGAACTATGCAGTGTACAGAAGGTGGAATTTGAGGAGAAGAATATCAGGTGGGTCAACTTTACATTCAAAAACCCTGGGAGATTTTGAAAACAATGTTTGGTACCTTCCCAATTCCTAAACGCCTTTTCCCAAGTGCCAACTTCCCAAATGGGTAATTCTCAACGCTAACTTATCAAGTCTGTCCTAGCCACAGCGCTCGTCCTAACGTTAGGTTTGGGAAGTTGTCGCTTGAGAAATTGTCACTTGGGAAGTCGCCCTTGGGAAAATGCCCTTGTGAAGTACCTTACACCTTGAGAATCCTCCCCCTCTCATTTTAAATAATTAAAAACATATAAAACATCCAATGCCCTGATCTATGACATCTTTAGGCTAGAACAGGAGCTGAAAGATGCACTGGAGGAGAGAAAAATTGTAGAAAAGAAAGGTAAGATTATGTTACACATAAATCCCCGACCGTTTTAGCTTCTATAGCTATAGAAAAACCAGAAGTTTCAAATGTGGTTGAATTGGTGAAGAGACCAAATGAAATTACCCTTCTTAGCTTATTTGTGCCAATGTCGTTTTTTTTCTACAATGGTATTTAGAGATATTTTTTTTGAAGCTATCTATTGTGACTTGCGACTTTTTTTCTATTATGTCAGTTAAAGAGCAAGCCGGCTCCTTCAATTGTATTGATATGATTTTTAGTTGGGAGATAAATTTGGCAAAAAAATACGATTCTGTGAATAATGCTTTCTTGAAACTATGAGGACAGTTACTTTACTTATTACGATTCAAGGGCACAGCATGGTGAAGGATGTGAAGAGGCAGCTCATCATGGAGAAGAAGAAGAACGAGAGATTACAGGAGAAGATGAAGGAGTGCTTCATAGATACTGAATCAAACCATTCAGGTTGGTTAATTGGTTGGCTGTCTGGTGGTTTTTTGGTTAGTTGGTGGGTTGTTGAGTTAGTTTTGGTTGCTAAGTTTGTTGCTTACTTGGTTGGTTAATTTTCTGGTTGCTTTGTTTGATTGATGGTTGGTTGGTTGGTTAGTTGGTGGGTTGTGGAGTTAGTTTTGGTTGCTAAGTTTGTTGGTTACTTGGTTGGTTAATTGTCTGGTTGCTTTTTTGTTTGATTGATGGTTGGTTGGTTAATTGATTGGTTAGTTGGTGGGTTGTGGAGTTAGTTTTGGTTGCTAAGTTTGTTGCTTACTCCGTTGGTTAATTGTCTGGTTGCTTTGTTTGATTGATGGTTGGTTGGTTGGTTGGTTGATTGGTTGGTTGTGAGTTAGTTTTGGTCGCTAAATTAGTTGTATGGTTGCTTACTTGGTTAGTTAATTGCTTTCCTTTCATTACTGGTTGGTTGGTTGGTTGGTTGGTTGGTTGGTTGGTTGGTTGGTTGGTTGGTTGGCTGGTTGGTTGGTTGGTTGGGTGGTTTCTTGGTTGGTTTTTAGAAAAATAAATAACCATGGTGTGGGACTTCTTTTGTTGGTTTTTCTTTCTTGTTTTGGGACTAATTTAATCTATGTTCAGATCAGCAGAAGGATGTGGATCCAGATAGAAGTTCAATATCATCCTGGAGTTTAATGTCAGGTACAGAGCACTTTATCAAGAACAAACAAATTTTTTTGTTGTATGTTCGGGGGAGGGGTACTAGTCAAATAGAACTTTTTTCATTAAGAAATGTTCACTTATTATGGATATTTTTGGTTTAAAATTATTGAATTTCTACCAAAACAAAAATTTGTAGTTTTTCCAAAAAACTTAAATTCAATGTTAAAAACATTGAAAAAAAATTCCATAATAATTTAGAGAAAATGTATTTTTGGTAGAAGGATAAGGGAGAGTGAAAAAAATCACAATTAGAATCCGGTTGATTAGTAATTCAAAGTTTTTCTCTCGCTCCTGTTAAATGTTCATTAACAAAGCGAGGCAGGGATTTTGTGGTAAAGGGTATTCTTTAGATTATTTCAGTCTGTTAAATTATTTTAAACAATTATTTATTCATCTCTTATGAAAAACTTAAAAAAAAATTTTCAATGGATTTAGAACCATTCCTTGAACACTGAACATTTTGGCGGGAGTTTTTTTTTCTTCTAACAAAATATAAACCCTTGTAATGGACAGAAATAAAAATCTGCTTACAGGAAACAATGATCGTGAATCTACCCCCTCCCATGAGAGATCCCGGGTATCCCAGAACTCACCTGATCTTCCAACTAGTCCTCTAGATACTCCTGGACAGGTATCTATTTATCTTTCTGTCTATTTATTTATCTTTCTGTCTATTTATTTATCTTTCTGTCTATTTATTTATCTTTCTGTCTATTTATCTGTCTATCCATATATCTATCGATCAATGTTACGTACTTTCCCAAGCGGCAACTTCCTAAGGGTATTTTCCTAAGTGGCAACTTCCCAAATATGCTATTTCCCAAGCGGCAACTTCCCTTGCACATCATAGCGAGCAGCAATCGGACCCCATAGCAGTCTGAGAAGCCTCAGAAGGCCTAACCTTACATTTGGGAAGTTGGGTAACTTGTTCTTGGGAAGAAGTCCATAGAAATATACCTTTGGGAAATACACCTATCTATCTATCTGTATTCTGTGAATGATTGAGTTTATTTATTTCTAAAAAAATTATGTCTTACCTTGAGGTTTCATGTTTTTCATGTAAATACATAGATTAGATTCTTCAAAAATTAATAATAAGACCTTGTTCGTTGAAATGTAGAAAAAATACTTGAACCATGATTAAAAAAGATTAAATACATTTTTTGAGTCAGTCTACAAGAAATAAATTTGCTCTGAACACTATTGAGTATTAGTATTAGGTCCAATTTCGTCCATGTTGTAAAGTAATTTCCTAGTTTTATTTTATTTTAAAGATTATCCTTCCCGTTGGGAGAAGGATTCCCAATTTTGTTCAGGATAAATTTGGCTTCACGAAAAGGCTACATTTACTCTGTACGGATTCAAATAGATCTGAAAGAAATTGAAAACCCTGGTTTGGGAAGAGTATTGTGAAACGGATTTGGTAGTTCTGGGTAAAAATGATGTAATTCTCCTTAACCCAAAAATTTATTCGTTTTTTTTTGAACCGACAAATTTCAGCAAAATAAATACCTCTCAATTATTCTTCATTCCAGGACTCAAATGGAAATAGACCAGGTTGGCGTAGCGCTGATGAATCTGGGCGTATGCAAGGTAGAGAGGGGGGAGAGACTGATGAGACGGATGTTCTCCTTGAAAGAGTTGCTTCACTACAACAGGTACAAAATGTCACATGAGCTAAAAGTAAATCCATACATTTGTTTATTTGGTCAAATTGTGCATCTAAACTGTAGGAAGTCAAAAACGGCTGATCCAGTATAGGTCGTTTTCGACTTAGGTCTTTTTTGGCTGGTCAAAAAACGACCTGTAACATTTTGACACAAAAAAGTTGATAAAGGCATTCAATTGAACCAAAGCCCAAAACTGTTCATAGTAAAAAAAAAGAATTGAAAATCCTTATAAAAGTATAAGCAAGTTTTTTAATAAATATAAAAAGAAAAAAGCTATAGGGGGGTCGAATATTTTTACAGAAATTTCCATGAACGGTCCTAATTTATTGTTCTGAACAATCGAATAAAATCCGGTTTTACAGCAAACATGTTAGACCATAAAGAATAGAAAGGCCTACGATGAAAAGGATTGCTTCTTTAACAAGTTTACCAAATATCAAATTAATTGTATAGGTCGAATCTGACCTAATTGTTACTAATGGGTCAAACTTATTTTTAAAAAAATTAAACGTTAAATCAACTGTATAAACAAAAACTAAATGAACCAAATCTACTGAATGAATCAAACCAAATACAAACCAAATACAAACCAATTGATAAAAAAATGATTTAATCAATTTAATATTCCCTGAAATTACTGAAAGTAAGAAACGTAAGCGTAATTTCAAGTGACCCTCCATACAAAGATGGCAATGGCCGATTGACAACGGTATCCTAGTAAGCTTTGTCAAATTAAATTTGAATTAGATATCAATGTTTATGAGTTTGTGAAATCAATATTTCACTTGTGGTTTCTCTACAAAGCGACTCGCCTATTTCTACTACAGGAAGATGTAAAGAAATTTCTAGAATCAAAGATTTTAAACCTAGAAAAACGATAATATATTTCACATTATTGATCAGAGAAAGATTTTAAGGGTAACATTGTAAATTGCAAAACAATCGGTACTTTTTCACTTTAAATTTGAAATATTAGATTACACTATTGTACTGTTAAACTGCATTATTCACTATTGTTATGTGAAACATTGCAGTTGTACAATTTTACTATCCTATTTTACAACAATGTTGTACTAATACTTTGTACAGCAGTAATATTAAAAGCTGAACTATTGTACAATGCGTAACTAATATTGTTCTAATAAAGAGTAGACTGTACAACTGTACAGTGTACACTGTACAGGTTTGCTTCACATGTGGTAGTATTATGTACAACTTAATTACTTACATACAACTATAATGTGTAACTGTACTATTGTGAAAATGTATTTATAACGACTGTATTCAGACTATCTGGGGAATGGAGGAAAAATTAAATATGCTGGAGCAAAGTGGAGCTGCAATGGCAGAGGAAATATTTAGGTAAAAATAATCAACAAGTCTTTCAGAGCAGAGACATCTGCCGGCCAACTCATCGGCGTTTTAAATGCATTGTATATAAAACAAATAAAGCACATTATAAAATATTAACTATATACGAATGCTTCGCAAAGTTATCGATGATTATAGGTTGTAATTTATGAATGATTTGTTTGGAATTAAATTGATTTTTTTTTGCAATCCGAGTCGAATGTTGCAACTTTCTGAATTTGTATGGACCAAAGACTTTCCTAATTAAAGATAGCGCATCAGAAAATCTACGCAAATTTGACGCATTTTCTGGGGTAGAGAAAAATAGTAACTAATGTCGTCTTCTCCAGAAATCCTGAGTATATTTACCCTGCTGACGTTTCATAATGTCGCCTTTTGTAATTGTAATGAATTAAATAGTTATTTAAAAACAAACAAGGAAAAAAATTTAGTTTTTCTATCTCGAAATATTTAATTTGTCCATTTTTTCTTTTTGGATCTGCTGGTTGGCTTGGCAGTTGGGTATCGTACATGTTACTTTGCTTGGCAGTTGCACCGACGAACCTGAATTTTTCAGAATTATTCATTGAATTTGAACACATAAAACTCCGGAATTTGAAGACGAAATTTAGACAATCTGTTTGTTCACTGCTCAATTGCGGTATTTTATGTTCATTGAACTATTTAATAAAAAATTGAGTCCAAAAGTCGTGTTTATATTCCAGTTTAATTTTCACCAATGTATTTATTTAATCCACCTTTTTAAAATCCTCCAATAATTCATGCCTTAAAACTATTGTAATCAACTTTAAAAGGTCGTCCATTAATTCGCATTTTTAACGAAATTTCTGTAATATTTTTTTCCTTTCTTTAATGGTGGATATTTTGAAATAAAATCCCCATAAATTAATTGAAGAGTAAGATTAATACATTAATTTATGCGATATTATTTCTTTGCCTAATATTAAACAGAAAACGACATTTACAAAAAAATTATTTACCGTTTATAACATTGGCAATTTCTAGTCCCCTCTCTTCTTCATCGCCTAAAATTCCATTCCATAGAACCTCAGGAAAAATGTTTGACGACATCTGAAAATTTTCACTAATAATTATTGACTATTTTAAATACAAAAGAGATGCGTAACTTTATCACAAATTCAGCTATAATTCCTAATCCTAATATCCAACAAAGGATAAAATAAATTTTAAAATACAAATTAATATTATTAATTTTAGTTAATTTTTAGCACAAAACATTCACAATCATGTTAAATAACTAAGGTTTTAATGTCGATCGTTCGACTCTCAAATAACCACAGGGTGGCCAAAATGTACGGATTGTACGGATTGTACGGATTGATTTTTTTTTAACCCTAAAATTGTACGGATTGTACGGATTGTACGGATTGTACGGATTTGTTTTCAAATTGTACGGATTGTACGGATTTCTTCTGAAAATGTACGGATTTTTGTACGGATGGGTTCAAAAAAGTTTTGGCCACCCTGTAACCAAAATAACCAATGACGTCAAAATACAGCTGTACAGGCGTACACAATAGTCGGATCAATTTCCAACGCCTCGTCTTTATAATTAGCAAAGCCTTTGGTATGGACTGTCTTCGGTATGAGTAGTTTTTAGCAATTTTAACAGATAGAAGTAAGATTAGTAGCGATCACCATCGATAATTTTTCGCTGAAAGCCTATACCCCCCTTTCATTTTTCGCGAACACTCCCTTTAAAGGCACTTTTGCTCTAAGAGTTAAACATTTTTTACCCCTTGATGGTTTCCGCCTCTTTGATCTTTTTTTTCTTCATAATAGTTATTGAAACCGTAATATGCGCAGATGGCAATGTTCGATTCACAACGGTTTTCTCCCTTGTTTCATAAATCTTTGAGTACTGATAACTTTCAACTGTGGGTTCTCTACACAAGTGACTTGTATATTTCTAATTCAGGAAATGACAAATAGGAATGATCAGAATTCAACACTTTTAGTGACAAAATCTTCTACATTATTGATCAGATTTAGGTTTTAAGGGTACCGTTGTGAATCAGGCACTGCTATCTCTGCATAGAGGGTCAATTGAAATTACGCTTACATTTCTTTAAAATGTGTCTACCCTTGATTAGATTTCATCAATTTTTAAACGCTTTCACTCTTTGAACAGCTAATTATTTCCTCCTCCTTCATTAGAATCCATCCTTGATATTTTTTTTCCTGTGAGCGGTACCACTAGTGATGTCAATAAAGTTTGTTCGGTTTTGGTTCGTTTTCTGCCTGTTTTTCTTTTAGGATCAAAATTTGGTAGAGAAAAAATCTTATAAGTTTTAATAAAAGTTTTTTTAAAACATTTAACAACACTTGGTGCTTCTTTTCCTAACTCTGCACATATTTAGGAAAAACAATCTGATCCAGTTCTACTGTATGGAGGCGGGTCGTGGACCCGGCCCTGTTAGTTCTGATGGGCGTTCCCTGGCTGCTAGGACAGGAGGGGTACGCCAGAGCGGGCAGGGAGGCGGAGAAAAGATGAAACAGTTTATGGACAGATTAGTTCATTCTGACAACACAGATCTTCATAATAAGGAGGTGAATTAAGAAAATAATTTGAATAAATATGGATTCTTTAATAATTTATTTTACTCTATTCTATTGAGAGCCTTTAACAAAGCATGCCTTAGACTTTTCTAATTTGATTCATTTTGAGATATGCTTACAGTTTCCCAGGAAACATTTTAAACTTAGGTAAATAATTTTGGACTGTTGAGTTCAAGTGCTGTTTATTGCGAGTTTCTATATTTAGACTACTAGGCTTTTAGGGCGCTTCGCGCCCCTCTTCTATTTAAATTGTGAACATGTTCTTTTTGTTTACATTTTAAAACAAAGAAGAAAAAAATTTTGCGGATTTTCAAGAATTTAAATTTTTTACAAAATTAAAAACCTTTAAAACACATTTTTTTAAATTTTTATCATTCATAAACCTTCCCTGTGGTCATGTGATGTCCCATAAAAGTATTGGGTCTGTCCTAGAGAACGATTTTTGGACCCCCCCCCTCAGGCCCGTAGCCAGGGGGGGTGCAAGGGTGCAGGTGCACCCCCCTTTCTTCTGAAAGGGGGGTGCAATGACGAATTTGCACCCCCCCCCAGTCCCATATAAAAGAAATTGTTTTTCATAATTTTCTAAAATCTAGTTACCAATAATATAGCTCAAGCAAGAGTTGATTCCCTTTCCAAACCAAATTATAATCTTATTGTGTGTTACTCATTATAATAGCCATTTTTGGGAGTTTCAAAAACATTATTTTAAGCGAGGATATTTGTCATTTTTTGTCAAAGTAGAAGGGTTTTTTTGAGTACTCAAAAATTCACTAAGAATGTCTCA